TCTCTCTCTCTCTCTCTCTCTCTCTCTCTCTCTCTCTCTCACTTGTGAGGGGTTGCGGATCGTAGGCTGCTCGAGTGCAGCGCAATAAGCTTTAGAGTTTCCGAACGCGTTCGAGCATCTCTCATGCTCCTCTCCCGTACTCCACCGACCCCGAGTGTCCGTAGGTGTCATCTGGCTCGCGCCCTTTTTTTCGCCCAGCTCCGGTGATGGCCCGCTACCACGTGCAGGGGCGATTTCTCCTCTCTCTCTCACTCTCTCTCTCTCGGACGCTGGTCCCAAGTCGAGCGCCTGTAGCCCCGCGGTCGAACGCCTCGTACGCCAGCGTAGAGCGCCACCCTCTCATCCCGACGCCACCTGCTCGTCTTCCAGTCCCGACCCGTTTACTCTGTCCACTCCTCCGCTCGCTGCCCTCCTCGCCTTTGAATCCTTGCTCGTCTCGGGATCCTCTTCCCCGTGCGTCAGACCAGACCGCGCATTTCCTACCGTGCGTTTCCCTCCTTTTCTTCTCCTTCCGCTCCCTTCCTCTTATACTCTTTCTTCGACCGCCTTCCTTCCGGGTCGATCTTCGACAGTTCCTTCCTTTTGAATCCGTCGTAAAGATCGAAACTACCCCAAACTTTTGATTTTCCCACCTCCATCGGCTAGAAAATTCTCGAAGGACGTCGCCTCCTCTCTCTCGACCAATCCTTCCTTCCTATTCTCCCTACCAATCGTCGTTGTCGCTACGCCCTCACCGGATCCAAGTGCATTCTCACTGCCCCCGCCCGATTAGCAAGAGTATTCTTCCGGGAGCGTCCGCTCGCCGCATTTGTAAGGAGCTCTACCCATCCTTAGCAGTCGAAGTTCCCTCTACTCTATTTCGCCTGTTAGCCCCCCCCCCCCCCCAATTCACACCCGTATCGGCAAGGGTCCTTTTGTTTCTCGGAGCTCGATACAGCTTGCTGGCGAAAGAGACGATCGCTCGCCCAAGAAAAGAAGAAACGGTTTCCAAGAAGCCAGTCGCGATCATTTTCCCGCTTGATTAGCTTCCTGACCCCTTGGCAACCGGTTGAGGCCACGAGCCCCACTCAGACAATTATCAAAAATTTTGAGGGGGAGTGCGCCCCAAGACTCAACACGCGTTCTTGTTATCACCACTCCTCTTGTCCCTCGCCTTCCGCCCTTCTCTGCTCAGTCCCGCTTTCAGTCCCCCTCCAGAGACGAGCAAGGCCAGCTCCGCTAGCGGCGTCCTTCCTGCTTTTTCAGTCGATCGCACCGCCTCACCCGGTCTCTTTGGTCGGGTTTCACCATCCCTTCGTCTCTCCTACGGTTTGGAGGAGACCCAAGAAGAACGGGCCAATCCGCCAGCTCACGTCGCCAACGGAGCGACCCCGAAGTCAGTTGGGTCCCTCCCTTCCTCTCGCTTTGATGCATCTCCATTCTCATTGTCTGCACTGACTGTTTCTTGATTGATTTCACCATATTTCTTAGTCGATCCTAAGTCCGTGCTCGACCTCGGTCTCTGCGGCTATCCTCTTCTCCCCTTTTCCACACTTCTGACCCGTCTCCCTTCCATTCTCAGCTTCTCCTCAACCTTCATCCCCTGGATCATCTGCTCTGAACTCATTCCTTCTTCCCGTCGGGGTCCCTAGTCAGTCAACAGAGGTAGAGCCCAGTCCCCCCTCCGAAATTGACCAGGACGGTTGCAGCAACCAATGAAGGCGAGGACCCTGAATCTGTCTCCCCAATGGCTGCACCGTAGGGAATCACGCGGATCATTCTGAGAGGAACGCCTTGCTGGTCCCACCTTGTCGGTCACCGGACCGTCTCGTTAGGCAACCGTTCGACTCCTGATAGAAGCAGGTCCGCGGTCCCACCTCACCATCCTCGTTCGATCCTGGAAAACAAGTCAGTTGACCCTCGGGATTCTCGGATTTTTCTGCCCACGACCTGGCCCCGCTTGAGAGCTTGCCACTTCCGCTTGTCCGAAGGTCAGTAAGAAGGCCAAACAACACTTGAACACATCCAAGCCACTCAGCCTCACGCAATCATTCAAAGAAACTTCAGAATCAGAAAAGGACACACCTAGAAATTTCTTTGTTTGGCAGGAGACCGCCCTCTCCCTGGTGCGAGGGTCATTCATAACCGAGGTCCCGGGCGTTCACCGGCCGCCCGTTTTTGTTCTGATCAAGGCCCATTCTGATGCACATCGTTCGCCCCGCATTTTCAGGTTTTGACACCGAAAACTCCAATCTTTTATGATCCGCCCGAGCCCGCTTGCGACCAAGGTTTGGACCATCACTCCAGTCAATCTAAGGGTTAGTATGAAGACCCGGACGCCCGAGGACATCCATAAACACCATATCCACATGCATGCATACGTCAAAACCACGCAAAAACAGCAAAAAAAAGAAAAAATGTTTTCATTTCAAAGAGAAAAAGCCTTCGGCTGGTAGGCAGCCGCCCGACACCGTGTTACGGCGTACTCACACTAGCATGTAAAATCACAAAATTTGTGCAACATTTAGGGTCACACGATGGCCGAAGTTTGCGAAATCGCATACCTGGGTACGTATATGTCAGAGGCCTGGGCAGCGACCGGCGTACGTATTTTGCGGGCACCTCCAGAGGTTCCCGCAAAATACGTTTTTTGTTTTTTTTTCTCTGTGATTTCTTTCCCCATTCACCATTGAACTTTCGTGCCTAGCACGACGCGACTGCAGGGGACGCAAATTCTACATTGGAGGACTAGTCGCGGTCGTGTCTTTTCTGTTTTGTGCTAGATGTGGGAGAGCTGTGCGAGTAGGCAGTGGTGATAGCCAACAGAAAATTTTGCGATTCTTCGCTGGTGCAGCCACTTCAAAAGCTTTTCAAGCGAGGTACCTTTTTTGGGGGGGGCATTTACATTCTCTCTCTCTCTCTCTCTCTCTCTCTCTTCTTTTTTTTTTTTTTTTTTTTTTTTTTTTTTTTTTCCTGTGCAAGATTTTTACAATGCCAGGAAGCGGGTCTGGCGTCCCTCACAAAAATTCCGTGGTCCAGATTAAGGGCGAGACGTCATCGGTCAAGCCCCAAAACGGGGCCAACACACAACACAAAACCCCATGTTGAAGAAGATCTCATGTCTTCTGCATGTTCTTTTTTTATAAAGATTCAATTCGGGGCCGGGGACCTCACAATTTAACCCAGAATACTGACAGCATACCCCCCCGCAAAAAAAAGGGGAAAAAAAAGGGCACCACCTTTCTGCTGGAATCCAATGTTTTCCCCCGTCCTCCCAAAATTGGTATCGTTTCCGGATTTCCCATCACCTCCCCAAGATCATGGTATCGTCAACTACCGTCTTCCCCCGAACATAACGCACCCTAAAAATGAATGTATACAAGCTATATTTCCGGCCAGATACAACCAAAAGAAGGGTGCGTTGAGTTCGGGGGAAGACGGTAGCCCGAATATGGGCCTCGCTGCACTACTCTCGGATGTGCAAAACGGGAGGGAATCTTCTGCTAAAACATGGAAAGATACATGGCCATGATTTTTGTCTCTTGTGCATGTCGAGAATAGTGCAGCGAGGCCCTATATCTTTTTTTTTTTTTTTTTTTTTTTTTCCCAACAGAACAATGTCTTTATAAAAGCTGGGAACCGGGGTCGGCGAACCTTACAAAATTAGGTGGGGCCCTTAGTGGGCAAGGCATCATTGGCCAAACACATAGAGGACACCACTAGATTTAACCCCACAATCAACTCCACAGCCCCAACGACTCGAAAAGTCAACGAAAATTATCATCACAATCTAAATTATCCATACTTGCGGCGCACGGGTGCGCTGCGCTGTGCGC